TTGGAGACGGAGTCTTGCTCTGTTACCCAGGCTGGAGTGAAGTGGCACGATCTTGGCTCACTTCAACCTCTGCCTCCTTGGTTCAAACGATTCTCTTGCCTCAGCCTTCCCAAATAGTTGGGACTACAGGTGCGCACCATCACACCCAGCTAATTTTTGTATTTTTTAGTAGAGATGGGGTTTCGCCATGTTGGCCAGGCTGGTCTCAAACTCCTGACCTCAGATGATCTGCCCACCTTGGCCTCCCAAAGTGCTGGATTACAGGTGTGAGCCATTACGCCCAGCTGAGAATAAGAAAATTATTTTGGAGGAAGAAGAAGGAATATATTTCACTTAATTGGGGTTCAAAATTAGTATGTTCCCTATTCATAAATGGATTTCTTTTTTTTTTTTTTTTTTTTTGAGACGGAGTCTTGCTCTGTCTTGGTTTCTGTAACCCGGGCTGGACTGCAGTGGTCGGATCTCAGCTCACTGCAAGCTCCGCCTCCCGGGTTTACGCCATTCTCCTGCCCCTGTAGCCTCCCTGAGTAGCTGGGATCACAGGCGCCGCCACCTCGCCCCGGCTAGTTTTTTGTATTTTTTTTTAGTAGAGACGGGGTTTCACCGTGTTAGCCAGGATGGTCTCGATCTCCTAACCTCGTGATCCGCCCGTCTCGGCCTCCCAAAGTGCTGGGATTACAGGCTTGAGCCACCGCGCCCGGCCCATAAATGGATTTCAAACGGCCATACGTAAAAACCATTCTCAGCTTTTAAGCTGCACAGAAACAGGTGGTGGGCTGCAATCAGCCAGTAATCTGAGGACATTTTTGTTTGCTTTTTGAGATGAGGTCTCACTCTGTCACCCAGACTGGAGTGCAGTGGCGCAGTCACAGCTCACTGCAGCCTCAACCTTCCAGGCTCAAGCAATTCTCCTACCTCAGTCTCCTGAGTAGCTGGTTTTCCTTAATGCTTTTCGTCTGAACCAGAACTGTTTGAACTCACTCTTTGATGAGTCATTCTAATGGCTTCAGACTAAATACCAGAGAACCCAATTGGTCTCTAAGGAAACCCATTCAGCGGCGTGGGTTTCCTTCTTACATTGTAGGGTAATTCCAGAGTTTTGTTCTGCAAACTTTTTTTTTTTTAATTTGAGATGAAGTCTTGCTTTGTTGCCCAGGCTGCAGTGCAGTGGCGAGATCTCGGCTCACTGAAACCTCTGCCTCCTGGGCTGAAAACTCGCTTCTTTTCTTTTCTTTCTTTCTTTTTTTTTTTTTTTTTGAGATAGAGTTTCGCTCTTGTCGCCCAGGCTGCAGGGCAATGGTGCAATCCTGCCTCCTGGGATCAAGTGGTTCTCCTGCCTCAGCCCCCCGAGCAGCTGGGATTACGGGTGAGCACCACTAGGCCTGGCTAGTTTGTGTATTTTTAGTGGAGACGGGGTTTCACTATGTTTGCCAGGCTGATCTCGAACTCCTGACCTCAGGGGATCCTCCCGCCTTGGCCTCTCAAAGTTCGGGGATTACAGGCATGAGCCACTGCACCCAGCTTCGAAAGCTCACTTCTTTGGAGGTTGTCTCTTTTGATGGGTAGAGAGTATTTGTTCTCATTTGTATTGGGATTTCCCCATTTATCTGTTCTCATCACATGGTCCAGGAATTGCTCACTGTTCTGTCTACTGGGGTGCCTCTTCTAGCTTTCCAGCTATGTCACAGATTTATAGCAGATGGTCACTTAGGCAGAAAACCACATCTGGAAACAAATCTGTTCTGGATTAAGACTATTTCTGTAGTTTAACTGTCTTGGCCAGGGGTGGCTCCTGTAATCCCAGCACTTTGGGAGGCCAAGGCTGGTGGATCACTGAAGGTCAGGAGTTTGAGACCACCCTGGCCAACATGGTGAATCCCTGTCCCTACCAAAAATAGAAATAAAAAACTAGCTGGGCCTGGTGGCTAGCACCTGTAATCCCAGCTACTCGCGCCTGACCTTTGCCCATTTTTGTATTGCTTTTTTTCTCATTGATTTGTGCAAACTCTGTATGTTGTGCATATTAATGCTTTGTTATACACCATGCATGTATTTTCTTTTCTTTTTTTTTTCTTTTTTTGAAATGGAGTCTTGCTCTGTTGCCCAGGCTGGAGTGCAGTGGCACAATCTCGGCTCACTGCAAGCTCCGCCTGCCGGGTTCACCACGCCATTCTCCCGCCTCAGCCTCCCGAGTAGCTGGGACTACAAGTGCCCGCCACCATGCCCAGCTAATTTTGTTTTTGTATTTTTAGTACAGGGGGGTTTCACTGTATTAGCCAGGATGGTCTTTTTTTTTTTTTTTTTTTTTTTTTTGAGACGGAGTCTCGCTGTGTCACCCAGGCTGGAGTGCAGTGGCGCGATCTCGGCTCACTGCAAGCTCCGCCTCCCGGGTTCACGCCATTCTCCTGCCTCAGCCTCCAAGTAGCTGGGACTACAGGCGCCCGCCACCACGCCCGGCTAGTTTTTTGTATTTTTAGTAGAGACGGGGTTTCACCATGTTAGCCAGGATGGTCTCGATCTCCTGACCTCGTGATCCACCCGCCTCGGCCTCCCAAAGTGCTGGGATTACAGGCTTGAGCCACCGCGCCCGGCCTAGCCAGGATGGTCTTGATCTCCTGACTTTGTGATCCGCCCACCTCGGCCTCCCAAAGCGCTGGGATTACAGGCATGAGCCACTGCGCCCGGCCCCATGTATTTTCAGTTTATTGTATATCTGGTTTCATAAGTTTTTTTTTCCAACTTATGTGGATGAGTCTTCCTAGGCATGACCGGAAACCAAGCCTATATATAGGAAAATGGTTAAGATTAAAACTAAAAACATATTAAGGAATTTGGACTTTATGGTAATGATTTTATCTTGATGGCAAGATTTTATCTTGAAGATTTTTTTAACTAGGTTTACACAATTAGATTAGCATTGTGAGTCAGGCCTTCGGTTTCCTCTTTTCTCTCAGAACTACTAGCTTCCAGTTAATTTTCACGTTGGTCACAAATTTTCCTAGAACTGTATTCACTATTCTTTGGAATGGCCTGTATGCCGCATGGGGGCAGAAGGAAGTGGTAAAACCTGTTAAACACCCTTCTAGGTGCTATTCACAAGGGATTTAAATGTTTTCAGCACCCCTGAGACATGATCATTATTTCCAATTCACAGTAAGGAAACTGTATTTATTTATTTAATTAATTAATTAATTTTTTTTTTTTTTTTTTTGAGACGGAGTCTTGCTCTGTCGCCCAGGCTGGAGTGCAGTGGCCGGATCTCAGCTTACTGCAAGCTCTGCCTCCCAGGTTCACGCCATTCTCCTGCCTCAGCCTCCCGAGTAGCTAGAACTACAGGCACCCGCCACCTCGCCCGGCTAGTTTTTTGTATTTTTTAGTAGAGACAGGGTTTCACCGTGTTAGCCAGGATGGTCTCGATCTCCTGACCTTGTGATCCACCCGTCTTAGCCTCCCAAAGTGCTGGGATTACAAGGAACCTGTATTTAATATGGTGGGTTTGGCTGGACAAGGTGGCTCACGCCTATAATCCCAGTACTTTAGGAGGCTGAGGCGGGTGCATCACCTGAGGTCGGGAGTTCGAGACGAGCCTGACCAACATGAAGAAACCCCATTTCTACTTAAAAAAAAAAAAAAAAAAAAAAAAAAAAAGCTGGGTGTGGTGGCAGGCGCTGTAATCCCAGCTACACAGGAGGCTGAGGCAGAAGAATCACTTCAACCTGGCAGGCGGACGTTGTAGTGAGCTGAGATGGCACCATTGCACTCCAACCTGGGCAACAAGAGCAGAACTCCCTCTCAAAAAAACACAAAAATACAGTGGGTTTGCTGACACTCAGACAGCTATAATGTATCAGAGCAGAGCAGGGATGTAAAGCCTGTTGTTTCTCTTTCTTTCCCACTGCCTGTCAAGTTTCAAGTGCACTTTTTTTTTCCCCCCAGACGGAGTTTCGCTCTTATTGCCCAGGCTGGAGTGCAGTGGCATGATCTTGGCTCACTGCAGCCTCCCAGTCCCTGGTTCAAGCGATTCTCCTGCCTCAATCTTCCAAGTAGCTGGTATTACAGGCATGCACCACCACACCCAGCTAATTGTGTATTTTTAGTAGAGACGGGGTTTCACCATGTTGGTCAGGCTTCTCTCCAACTCCTGACCTCAGGTCATCCACCCACGACAGCCTCCCAAAGTGCTGGGATTACAGGCTTAAGCCACCGCACCCTGCCCTCCAGTGCTCTTTTATGGCCGAGAGCTGTCAGGGATACATGCTTTTATTATGAATCAATTAAACAAGTATTTGAGCAACTACCATGTGCTATGTCAACTACATTCCTTTTATTTATTTATTTTTTTAAATAGTCATCCCAACAACTCTTCAATGTAGGTGTTATCTCCAATTTACAGACAAGGAAACTGAGGTTCAGAAAAATGAAGTGATCTGCCTAAGCCACATAGCTAGTCGTTTTTTGGAGAGGGGATTCAGATTCAGGTCCAGTTTCAGTTTTAAGGTCCTCACTGGGCCAGGTTGCCTCTTCCTAATGGAAGGGGTTTACAATATGTTTTGAGGAACCCTTAGGAAACAAGGTGTTCTTCAGTGGGCCATGTGTTGATGACTCCATGCTGGGTCCAGCATATCACGTTATCCTTACGACCACCCTAGGAGGCGCCTGCTACCAACATCACCATTTCTTCAGAGAAGGAAGCCGAGGTAGAGGGGGTAGGAGAGGCTAAACAGCGGATTAAGACTGAACCTAGGATTCGGACCTAATCATCATACCCCTCTATCTTCCTTTTTAGACTTAATCCCGTGCTCCAGACCCTTCTCAGTCTCCTTTCTGGGCCCCGAAGGTGTCGAAGTTGGATGGCCTGGCATTTCCTAGGATTTAAACCCGGAGCATAGCGGGCGCCCAGGACAAGAAGCTCAGAGGAGCCCCAGGCAAGTCTGACTCCGGAAGTAGTCGCAGCGCCGGCGGTCGCGTCTTGGGTTGCCAGGGCGCCGCCCTGGAAGTAGAGTGCGGCGCGGGGCGGGGCGGGGCGGGCCGGTGCGCCTGGCAGCTGGCTGCGTCCTCCTGCGAGCGCTGGAGAGGGGCTGGAGGCGGGGCGGGGGCGCGGCTCCAGGCATCCCTGCAGGGCGCTCTTCCGAGTCCCTCAGCGCTCTAACCCCACAGGTGAGGTCCTGTCGCCCAGGCCGCCGCCTCCCGGGCACCGAGGGTGTGGCTGCGCGCGGGCGGGCTAGTGCGCATGGGTGAGAGAGTGTGGGCGCCTATGTCTACGCGGCTGCGAAAATGCGGTTCAGATACTGCTCGCCGGTCCTGGAAGCCCGCGCTAACCACCATGCCTTTATCCCTCCGCTGAGTTCCTATGACTTACCTCATGCTGTCTGGTTGTTGTTATTGCATCATTATGTTTATTATTTGTTATCCCAGACTTTCATTGTTCCTACACGTTTCCCATACATTTGGAATCTGTGTTGTTTCTGTTGGCATCTTTTGCAGGGCGCAGTGTACCTGTGGAGAGAACTCAGGGTAGGAGACAGGAGCCTTGTGTCTTATCGCTAGGTAACTGGAACAAGACATTTCCCCTCTCTGATTCCCCATCAGCTAAGAGGGCAGGGAGAGGTAGTCATCCTCTCCATAGAGTAGCTGGGGCATTATAGGGGATTAATTCTGGAAGTGAAAGTATCTTATCATTCGTTAGCCTTTTTGGCGTTTGCAAAGCAGGTTCTTTGCTTAGGAAGCATTTGATGAGCACATTATGGTGCCGGGTTGTGGCGGTACAAAAAGATGGGCCCTACTCTGCCCTCAAATTACAAACACTGGTAAGCAGTCACTGTGGAACATGGTACTGTCACCCAGTGCGGTCGTGGAGATGGACAGTGACAATACCGTTGTGAATGAATGCACTGTTCAACGTGAGGTCATCATTGGCATTGTTATTACTTTATTACTTTATTTATTTATTTTTAAACGGAGTCTCGCTTTGTTTCCGGGGCTGGAGTGCAGTGGCGCGATGTCGGCTCATTGCGACCTCCGCCTCTCGGGTTCAAGCGATTCTCCTGCCTCAGCCTGCCGTGTAGCTGCGATTACAGGCGCGCGCCACCATGCCCAGCTAATTTTTTTTTTTTTTTTTTTTTTTTTTTGAGACGGAGTCTCGCTCTGTCGCCCAGGCTGGAGTGCAGTGGCGCAATCTCGGCTCACTGCAAGCTCCGCCTCCCGGGTTCACGCCATTCTCCTGCCTCAGCCTCCCGAGTAGCTGGGACTACAGGCGCCCGCCACTGCGCCGGCTAATTTTTTCTATTTTTAGTAGAGACGGGGTTTCACCGTGTTAGCCAGGATGGTCTCGATCTCCTGACCTTGTGATCTGCCCGCCTCGGCCTCCCAAAGTGCTGGGATTACAGGCGTGAGCCACCGCGCCCGGCCAAGCTAATTTTTTAAATTTTAGTAGAGATGGGGTTTCGCCATGTTGGCCAGGCTGGTCTCGAGCTCCTGACCTCAGGTGATCTGCCCACCTAGGCCTCTCAAAGTGCTGGGATCACAAGCGTGAACCACCATTCCTGGCCATATTCTTGCGTGTTTTTTTTTGTTTGTTTTTTTTTGTTTTTTTTTTTTTAGGTGGAGTCTCACTCTGTTGCCCAGGCTGGAGTGTGGTGGCGCAATGCCGACTCACTGCAACTACCACCTCCCAGGTTCAAGTGATTCTCCTGCATCAGCCTCCCGAGTACCTGGGATCGTAGATGTGCGCCACCACGCGCAACTAATTTTGTATTTTTAGTAGAGACAGAGTTTCACCATGTTAGCCAGGCTGGTCTTGAACTTCTGACCTCAGGTGATCCACCTGCCTTGGCCTCCCAAAGAATCTGTATTTCTAACAAGCTCCAGGTGCTGCTGACCCATGGGCCATGCTTTGAGTAGCACTGGACTAAATGATTGCTTACAACCCAAGTACCATGGAGAAAATAAAGTGACAGTGTGGTAGAATGAGAAGGATTGAGATTGAGTGGTTGGGGAAAGCCACTCTGAGCAGTTGACTTTTGAGAAGGGGCCAGATCTGGAGGAAGAGCAAAGGCTTGAGACAAAATGCAGCTTGTGGGGTGTCGGGAGCTGAAAGAAGGTCAGGGGCTACAGAGGGTTGGTGAGAGACAGGGACTAAGAGGTGATGGTCCATATCTGCAGGGCTGGCCTTGTAGGCCATGGAGGACCACTAGCTTCGTTTTTAGTGCAATAGGAAGCTACTGTGGGGTGGTGAGCAGGGTGACATGGTTAGTGTCGTGTGTGTCACACATTGGTCCACTGCTCGGTGGGAAATGGGTTGTAGTGGAGGGAGGAGAGTAACAGGGGACAGAGTGGGGCCTGCTGCAGTTGCCCAGGAGAGAGGGGACACTGTGGGAGTTGAGGATGGATTTGGAATCTTCTGGAGTGAAGCTGACCTGATTTGCTGCTGGATCAAATAAACCATCCCTTCCTTCCCAGGCCGCAGTTGAACTGTGATGTGTTGTTGAAGCCCTGTGCTGCAGGCAGGCCTTACAGCTTGTTGAATGTGTCTCCTGCACTCCCCGCCCCTGTCTGGGCTCTCAGTTTAATGTCTCTCTGTGGCAGGCCTGGCACTGAGTGGCTGTCAGGGCTGTGTGGATGGATGAGAAGTTAAACCATCAATGGCCCTGACACCCAGGGTGTTCGTGGGAAACCTTCTCTTTAAGCTCATGGCGATACTACCCCGTTGCCCCAGGAACGAGACACAGGGTGTCTTCTGAAAATAACCAGCAGCTCTCTGGTTTCAGGATGGCTTTCTGTGGTGGGCACATCTCAGGTGGTGACAGCCGCAACACCAGTTCTGAGCTGCATTCAACATAAAACGTCAATATGTCACTCTCTGTTTTTCCTGGTTAGGTTTTTATGATACTCAGTTTAGAAAGTGGCATAACATTCAGATGCATCAATTCACGTGAACCAGGAGAGATACAACATGTTACTTGGTACCCTTAACCCTACTTCCGTTTTTCTGTGTTAGGAGGAAGCAACAATAAAACAATCTGATATTAGGTATTTATTTACTTTTCTAAGGAAAAGGGCTTAATATTGCTTAGGATTGAGAAGGAATCACCCATTTTTCTGCACTGTGGGGCATGGCCCGGTGGATCACTTGTCTACACACGATTTTGGAGCCCCACACCAGGCCTGGCTGGCTACCAGACATGAGAACAGACGCGAGTCAGCCCACTCCTGAGCCAGCCCACTCTGCTGCCCTGCAGGAGGCTGCTATCTGATGTGGGAGGCATATGTGAAACAGCAGTTGCCATCTGGTGTGGGAGGGAAGCGTGTAGGCTGTCCACAGGCTGCACTCTCTCCTCTTCTTTTTATTCTCTGGCCCCCATTTTCCTCATCTGTAAAATGGGGAGAATTCCTGCTGTATGAGTCTGTTCTCATGCTGCTAATAAAGACATACCCAAAACTGGGTAATTTATAAAAGGAAGAGGTTTAATTGACTCACAGTCACAATCATGGCAGAAGGTGAAGGAAGAGCAAAACATCATACGTGGTGGCAGGCAAGAGAGCTTGTGCAGGGGAACTCGCGTTTATGAAACCATCAAATCTCACGAGATTTATTCACTACCACGAAAACAGTACGTGGGGAACCACTCCCATGATTCGTTTATCTCCACCTTGCCCTGCCCTGGACTAGTGGTAATTATTACAATTCAAGGTGAGATTGGGATACAGTGAAACCATATCATCTGCCTTTGGGCATCACATGAGATGATAATATGAATATACACAGTGGAGAAGAATACTCATAAACTACCCCACCCAGTGCCTGACACATGCTAGTGTTTAATAAGTGATAGCTTTTGCCAGGCGCAGTAGCTCACACCTGTGATCCCAGCATTTTGGGAGGCCGAGGCAGGTGGATCATGAGGTCAGGAGATCGAGGCCATCCTGGCTGACATGGTGAAACCTTAATCTCTATTAAAAAAACAAAAAAGTAGCTGGGCGTGGTGGCATGCGCCTGTAGTCCCAGCTACTCAGGAGGCTGAGGCAAGAGAATCACTTGAACCCAGGAGGCGGAGGTTGCAGTGAGCCGAGATCATGCCACTGCACTCCAGCTTGGGCGACAGAGCGAGATGCTGACTCAAAAAAAAAAAAAAGTGGTAGATTTTGTTCTTAGTGATGATATAAATATGTCATTCCTTACTCTGCAGGCATGGTTGAGCTCCAGTGCCCAGCCAGGGTCTTGGCTGGAATTACTCCAACCTAACCACCTGATGATAAGAGATTGGAAGCTTATGGTTGAAACCTAGAAAAAGCAGGTGGGGAGCCTGCAAAGAAAGAAAGAAAAAGATGTCGGCTGGGCACGGTGGCTCTGAGCCGCCTGTAATCCCAACACTTTGGCAGACTGAGGCGGGTGGATCACCTGAGGTTCGGAGTTCAGGACTAGCCTGGACAACATGGTGAAGCCCTGCCTCTACTAAAAATACAAAATTAGCTGGGCATTGTGGCGGGCGCCTGTAATCCCAGCTACTCAGAGGGCTGAGGCAGGAGAATCGCTTGAACCCTGGGAGGTGGAGGTTGCAGTGAGCCAAGATTGCGCCACTGCTTTCTAGCCTGGACAGCAGAGCTAGACTCCATCTCAAAAAAGAAAAAAAAAAAAGATGTTTTAGACAGGAGCTCTGTTTCTATCTTACTTGGCATCCCTTTTGACGAAAATAAAGATTTAGTTTATTTTAATGCCATGATATTGTTAGGTAAATGGCTAGTAGAAAGTATGATACAAAGTAGCAATTTGGTAAACATTAGTAAATAACTAATATCAAGGAAATTAACCAAACTGCTTTGAGAGTCTCAACTCGTTAAATCTCAGTTGGCTCAGTTGATCTGTCAAGACACTTGTAGCTGACACATATCCTTTTTTCATTTTTTTTTTTCTTGGTTAATTATATCAAGAGTTTTGCTCAGGGAAGGTGATCATATCTCCAACTCAGGAATAAATCCTAATTAGCCTAAGCCAGTTTGATATGCTCATTCCCTTGCCATTGGGTTTTTGTTGTTGTTGTTTTTGAGATGGAGTTTGCTCTTGTTGCCCAGGCTGGAGTGCAATGGTGCAATCTTGGCTCACTGTTGACTCCACCTCCTGGGTTCAAGCAATTCTTCTACCTCAGGCCCCCGAGTAGCTGGCATTATAGGCATGCGCTACCACGCCCAGCTAATTTTGTATTTTTAGCAGAGACGGGTTTCTGTTGGTCTGGCTGACCTCGAACTCCTGACCTCAGGTGATCCACCCGTCTTGGCCTCTCAAAGTGATGGGATTACAGGCATGAGCCACCATGCCCCACGCCCCGTCTGGCCATTATTTTTTTTTCTAAAAGATTTTCTCACATAAAAAGAAACGCTGGAAGAGAAACAGGCTTTTCTTCTCCTGGAAATGTAGCTGTCTTAACTGGGCTTGACTGAGGACAGAGCCAATTTTCTGAGGATGGCAAAATGTAAAATGGGAAGAACTCGAGCTATTGGTGATGATATCAAGCCCAGAAATTACCAGCTCTGGAGCCTTGTTAGATATTACTAATGTAACGTAATCAATTATCTGTGTTATTTAAAAAAAAAAAAAAAAATGGAAGGGGCCTGGGTGCGGTGGCTCACACCTGTAATCCCAGCACTTTGGGAGGCAGAGGGGGGATGGATCACTTGTGGTCAGGAGTTCGAGACCAGCCTGGCCAGCATGATGAAACCCTGCCTCTACTAAAAATATAAAAACTAGCCGTGCGTAGGGACATGCACCTGTAATCCCAACCACTCGGGAGGCTGAGGCAAGAGAATTGCTTGAACCCAGGAGGTGGAGGTTGCAGTGAGCCAAGATGGCACCGTTGCACTCCAGCCTGGGTGACAGAGCGAGAGTCTTACTCAAAAAAAAAAAAAAAAAAAAATAGGCCGGGTGTGGTGGCTCACACCTATAATTCCAGCACTTTGGGAGACTGAAGCGGGTGGATCATGAGGTCAGGAGTTCAAGACCAACCTGGCCAACATAGTGAAACCACATCTCTACTAAAAATACAAAAATTAGCCAGACATAGTGGCAGCTGCTTGTAGTGCCAGCTACTTGGGAGGCTGAGGCAGAGAATGCTTGAACCCGGGAGGCGGAGGTTGTGGTGCGCTGAGATTGCGCCACTGCACTCCAGCCTGGGCGACAGAACGAGACTCTGTCTCAAATAAAAAGATTAAAAAATTAGAATAAAAATAAAAAATGGAAGGGGTGTGTGGGGAGCTTCAGGGCAACGCTCTTTCTGCTGCATGTACTTGTTTCAGACAAGTTAGGACTTCCCCGTAAGTTTATGGGAGGCACAGCTTAACCCATAACACATCTCTATGGGAGCGACTGTCAAAAGCAAAGACTCAGGTTCAAGGGACTCACCTGGAGGGTTTTCCCGCTCCCTCCCTATGCACTGAATATTTACTGTGGGCCTTGACTGTGCCTGGGCTTGTGCTAGAGATGTTGGAGTCAGGTAGGATGGACTGTGGGCTTTGATGCACGTGCCACACCACAGCCTGGAAATAATCTGTGCAGCCGGGCACAGTGGCTCACGCTTGTCATCCCAGCACTTTGAGAGGCCGAGGCAGACATATCACCTGAGGTCGGGAGTTTGAGACCAGCCTGGCCAACATGGTGAAGCCCTGTCTCTACTAAAAATACAAAAATTAACCAGGCGTGGTGATGGGTGCCTGTAATCCCAGCTACTTGGAAGGCTGAGGCAGAAGAATTGCTTGAGCCCAGGAGGTGGAGGTTGCAGTGAACCAAGATCGCTCCAGCCTGGGCGACAGAGTGAGACTCTGCCTCAAAAAAAAAGAAAAGAATTGCTTGAACCCAGGAGGCAGAGGTTATAGTGAGCCAAGATGTGCCACTGCACTCCAGCCTGGGCAACAGAGCAAGGCTTTGTCTCAAAAAAAAAAAAAAAAATCACACAAGAGTGGGAACAGGTGACTCAGAGTCCCACCCTCATGTGTTTATGGAAGGAATGTACTTAAAGGGCTGAAATGCAAGGTAGGCAGTTCTGAGTGCCGACAAGGATGGTTGGAGAGGAGACAGAGGGTCTGGGGAGGGCAGTTTAGCTCCAGCTAAGGCCGAGAATGGCTCTCTGTGGAGGGAGTGACCTTTGAACTGTGCCTTGCATGACTGGTGGGAGTTGGAGAAGAGGCCGTGCAGAGGGGCTGTTCCAGGAGGGGCACAGGGTGCACACAGTCTTGTAGGTGGGAGGAAAGGGTCGGGCAGGTGTGGGAAGGGGCTGAGCTCAGCTGGGCGAGGGGTGCATGCCATGAAGGGTGGTGTGGCAGTTTGAGAAGGCCAGCTGGAGCCCGTAAGTAATACAGTTCAGAAATTCTTACTGTAACGGGAAGACTCTTAGGAGCATCTTTTAGTGTGCATTTGTTAAACAAGATGCCAGCCACTGAATATTCTGGCTAGTTATGGTTTTGTCATCGTATTCTTAAAATGGTTAAAGAGGCCGGGCACGGTGGCTCACGCCTATAAATTCAGCACTTTGGGAGGCTGAGGTGGGCAGATCGCTAGAGCCTGGGAGTTCGAGACCAGCCTGGCCAACATGGGGGAAACCCGGTCTCTACAAAAAAATAACAAAAATTAGCTTTGTGTGGTGGCACTCGCCTGTAGTCGCAGTTACTCAGGAGGCTCAGGCAGGAGAACTGCTTGAACCCGGGAGGCGGAGATTGCAGTGAGTCGAGATCGTACCACTGCGCTTCAGCCTGGGTGAGCAGAATAAGAACCTGTCTCAAAAAAACAAAAACAAAAAATGGTGAAAGAGTGTCTTCTTAATGTGTGCGATGTACATTTTGTCTGTGTGTTAACTTTTAGGGAAGAAGGAGGGGCCAGCGTCAGTGACGTCAGCGACACCGAGGTGAGCGTGGGCGTCACCAGTGGTGCTCCATCAGTGCCTATGGTAGGTACAGCCTGAGGCGGCCCCTGAGGGACCGTTTGTCCGCACGGTGGGAGAGAGGGACACCTGATGGTCTGGCTAAAGCACCTGCCTCACTTGCTTAGTGAAATGTGGATGAAGATATTTGGCCCGTCTGTCTCGGTGGGTTTGGGGTCTCACACCTGGAAGCGTTGAGGCCTGGGGAAGCACTGTGTGAGAATCGCACACAGCCTTCGTGGTCTCCAGTCACTACTCTTCTATCACCTCCAGGTAGATGTCAGTGGCTGGTGTGAGGTCACCCACTAAGATGCTTGCTTTAAGTACAACGTGTGAACCATGCAGCCTGGACGGTGGTGGTTTGGGGGTCCCCAGGCCGCAAGCAGGATTCATCAGGAAATCACGGCTGTGGAGGCTGAAATCACAGAGTGAAAACGAAAAGTCCCCTGAGCCATTGGCGTGGCCCCCGTGTCTGCGGGTGTGAGGGTTGTGGGATCGGCTCACGCTCTGGGGTGCGGCTCCCGTGGCCCCTGTGTCTGCGGGTGTGAGGGGTGTGGGATCGGCGCATGTTCTGGGGTGTGGCTTCTGTGGCCCCCGTGTCTGCAGATATGAGGGGTGTGGGATCGGCTCACGTGCTACGGTGCGGCTCTTGTGCTTTTACTGTCATCTTGGTGTGACTGCTGAGGTTCCACTGCTGAGGTTCCACTGCTGAGGTTCCACGTGCACCGTGACAGATCACCTAATGGGAGTCCTTTATACAGCACCTTGTAGCTTCCAGAGAGCGATTCTGTTTATTGCTTGTTGACCCTGTGAGCTGGATGTTGTCATCATCCTGCCAAAGGCCAGGTTCACAGAGGGAAGTGACGGGCTGTGTGGAGAGAGGTGGCACTTTAGAGTAGTATCACCCTGGCTTTGAATCAGGGCACCAGGACTCCCTTGAGTCTGGTTCCTTTTCTTTTCTTTTCTTTCCTTTTCTTTTTTTTTTTTTCTTTTTTTTGAGACAGAGTCTGGCTCTGTGGCCCAGGCTGGAGTGCAGTGGCCGGATCTCAGCTCACTGCAAGCTCTGTCTGCCAGGTTTACGCCATTCTCCTGCCTCAGCCTCCCGAGTAGCTGGGACTACAGGCGCCCGTCATCTCGCCCGGCTAGTTTTTTGTATTTTTTTAGTAGAGACGAGGTTTCACTGTGTTAGCCAGGATGGTCTCGATCTCCTGACCTCGTGATCCGCCCGTCTCAGCCTCCCAAAGTGCTGGGATTACAGGCTTGAGCCACCGCGCCCGGCCTTTTTCTTTTCTTTTTTTGAGACGGAGTCTCACTCTGTCACCCAGGCTGGAGTGCAGTGGCGCGATCTCGGCTCACTGCAAGCTCCGCCTCCTAGGTTCACACCATTCTCCTGCCTCAGCCTCCCAAGTAGCTGGGACTACAGGCACCGCCACCACGCCCGGCTAATTTTTTTTTATTTTTAGTAGAGATGGGGTTTCACCGTGTTAGCCAAGATGGTCTTGATCTCCTGACCTCATGATCTGCCCACCTCGGCCTCCCAAAGTGCTGGGATTACAGGCATGAGCTACCACGCCCGGCCTCTTTTCTTTTCTTCTCTTTTCTTTTCTCTTCTCTTCTCTTTTTTTCTTTTTTTTTTCTGACAGAGTCTTGCTCTGTCACCAAGGCTAGAGTGCGATGGCATGACCTTGGCTAACTATATCCTCTGCCTCTCGGGTTCAAGCAATTCTCCTGCCTCAGCCTCCTGAGTAGTTGGGATTACAGGCGTGCGCCACCATGCCTGACTAATTTTTGTATTTTTATTAGAGATGGGGCTTCGCTATGTTGGCCAGGCTGGTCTTGAACTCCTGACTCAGGTGATCTGCCCGCCTCGGCCTCCCAAAGTGCTGGAATTACAGGCATGAGCCACCACACCCGGCCAGAAGATTGTCTTAAGTACAACGTGTGAGTTGTACAGGCCAGATGCCTGTGGTGTGGGGGTCACCAGAGTGGAGAGGCAGCCTCCTGTAGCCTTCCTGGTCGGAGCTGGGGTGGGAGCCTTGAATCTTGGGCTGCCTGAGCAGTTTGAAAACTAGACTTTTCAGAGCAAACCGAGGTCTAGAGTCCTCTTGTAACTGTTACAGCTCCGAGTCCCACCGTGGCGCTGACAGGCCTGGGACTGCAGCCAGTCTATCTGATCTGAGCATCCCTCTCGTCCCAGGCATGGAGCTGGGCCCTGGGCACATAGCAGTGAAGAAGAAAGCAAGCCAGCTCCCTGGCCCCCAGCAGGGACAGCAGGTGCTTCATACAGAGCTCCCGGATGCCGAGGGGTCCAGCACCTGGTTTGCAGGGTCAGGGAGGCTTAGCGGAGCAAGCGACATTCATTTACGCTGGCAGATGAGTGGGAGGCAGCTTAGCCAGGCAGAGAGTGAGGGCAGCACGCTGCAGGCGGAGGGACACAGTGTGTGTGAGGCTTGTGACGGGAGAGAGAGTGGGCGGAGGAAGCCCAGGGTGGCGGAACAGAGCGTAAAGGAGAAGGTGGTGTGAGGTGGACCTGGAGAAGCAGGTGAGGGCAAGGGGTCTGTGTGTTTAAGTACCATGGGGAGTCATGGAGGTTATTAAATGGGAGTGATGTGGTCAGGTAAACACTTTTTTAAAAAAAATTTTATTTTATTAATTAATTTATTAATTTATTTATTTAGAGATGGAGTCTCGCTCTATCGCCCAGGCTGGAGTGCAGTGGCGCAATCTCTGCCCACTGCAACCTCCGCCTCCTGGGTTCAAGTGATTCTCCTACCTCAGCCTCCCAAGTAGCTGGGATTACAGGCACATGCCACCACGCCCGGCTAATTTTTTATATTTTTAGTAGAGACGGGGTTTCACCGTGTTAGCGAGGATGGTCTCGATCTCCTGACCTCGTGATCTGCCTGCCTCGGCCTCCCAGTGTGGGATTACAGTCGTGAGCCACCGCGCCCGGCCTATTTTTATTTTTTGAGATGGAGTCTTGCTCTGTCGCCCAGGCTGGAGGGCAGTAGCACGATCTCGGCTCACTGCAACCTCTGCCTCCTGGGTTCAAGTGATTCTCCTGCTTCAACCTCCCTCGTAGTTGGGATTATAGGTGTGCACCACCACACCTGGCTAATTTTTGTATTTTTAGTAGAGACGGGGTTTCACCATGTTGGCCACGCTGGTCTTGAACTCCTGACCTCAGGCGATCCGCCTGCCTCGGCCTCCCAAAGTTCTGGGATTACAGGCGTGAGCCACCACGCCCAGTCCAGATAAACACTTACGGTCACTCCACAGTTACAAAGGGTGACTTGAAGTAGGGAGACAGGCGGTGCCTGGAGGGACATGGGACAGGCATGCCAACCCCCACTTACCCATCGGAAGTCGGCCCGAGGTCCGAGGGTTCCCTTCTCAGGGCAGCCCTCCCTAGCTGCCTTGCCTCTGGCTCTCAGAGCCCCGTGTGCCCCTCCTTTGTGGCTCCTGGCACAATTGCAGTTGAATACTCCCGGGTGGCGACTTGCCAGCTGCTTGTTTCTCCTACCAGACCAGGGTTTCTCAGTCTTGCATAGTTGACATTTGGGGCTGGATGACTGGTTGTGAGGGGTCATCTGTGCAGTCAGATGTTTAGCGGCATCCCGGGCCTGGACATGCCCAATGCCAGAGGCATCTCCCAGTCATGACAACCGGACTGTCTCTAGACATTGCCAGGTGTCCCCTGGGAGACGGAATCACCCCCGGTTGAGAACCACTGCCAGGGTAAGATCGAGTTTGGAGTGGGGCGTGCTGTTTAGAGGATTCCTTGGGTTTAAAGGAAAGTGAGTTGTTGAAGTTTTGTAGCTCTGATATCTTGATCTCTTCCAGGATTATGGCAGGAAAAGTAAAATGGGTCACTGATATCGAGAAGTCAGTGCTGATCAATAACTTTGAAAAGAGAGGATGGGTCCAAGTGACAGAAAACGAGGACTGGAATTTTTACTGGTAAGCACGCACAGCAGGGCTGGGTTGTTTCTCTGAGACTTACGTATCGGTTTTACTAATTCCAGTGCCCTGCAGAGAGTGGCCTCAGAGCTAGTGTCTCCCGTCATTGTGCTATCTCCCCTCACACATTTTTCCTTAAGGCTGTTTGTGAGAGAATGTGTTGTGGTGTGTTCTCACGTCACTGTGTTCAGCCGGGGGTATGAAGTCTGGGGTGTTTCAGCTCAGCAACCCTGTGGGGAATTTGAGTGAGAAACAAGAGCCTCAGGCCTCCCCTTCCAGTGAGCATGCATTATAGTTGGGCCAGAGGACAGGACAGTCTTACTCTGTCACCCAGGCTGGAGTGCAATGGTGCCGTCTCAGCTCACTGCAGTCTCCGCCTCCTGGGTTCAAGTGATTCTCCTGCCTCAGGCTCCCAAGTACCTGGGATTACAGGCGCCACCACACCTGGCTAATTTTTTTGTATTTTTAGTAGAGACGGGGTTTCACCATGTTGGCCACGCTGGTCTTGAACTCCTGACTTTGTGATCCACCCGCCTCGGCATCCCAAAGTACTGGGATTACAGGCTTAAGCCACTGTGCCTGGCTGCATTTTTTTCTTTATAGAGACAGGGTCTTGCTGTGTTGCCCAGGCTCGTCTTGAACTCCTGGCCTCAAAAGATCTTCCCATCTCAGCCTCCCAAAGTGCTGGGATTACAGGCATGAGCCACCGTGTCAGGCCATAAATAGGAAGCAGTTTGGAGTTATTCTTTTTTTCTTTTTTTGGTAATAAAGCTGGTGTGTGTGTGTGTGTGTGTGTGTTTATTTATTTCAGAGACAGAGTCTTCCCATGTTGCCCAGGCTGGTCTCAAACTTGTAGACTCAAGTGATCTTCCCGCTTCAGCCTCCCCAGTGTGTTTGTTTTTTTATTTTGAGACAGAGTCTCCCCATGCTGCTCAGGCTGGTCTCAAACCTAGACTCAAGTGATCTTCCCAGCCCAGCCTCCCCATAGGGCCTGGGCCTCCCACAGTGGCGGGAATTACAGTGTGAGCCACTGTGCCCGGCCAAGCTAATTGATATTTTGAGAGCTCTTGTTCTGGCCGTGGGCACGTGGCTCATGCCTGTAATCCCAGCACTGTGGGAGGCCAAGGCCCGGATCACTCTGAGGCCAGGAGTTCAAGACCAGCATGGCCACCATGACCAAACCGCCTCTACTGAAAGGCTAAAAACTAAGCTAGCTGGGCGTGGTGGTGCCTGCCTATAGTCCCAGCTACTCGGGAGGCTGAGGCAGAGAGCGCTGTCCTGGGAGGCAGAGGTAGCAGTAAGCTGAGATCGACCATTGCACTCCAGCCTGTGACAGAGGAGACTCTGTCTCAAAAAAAATAAAATAAAAATAATAAAAATAAAAAGAAGAGCTTCTGTTCTAAGCAATTATGTACTATCAAGTTTACAGAAAAATTGGTTAGGTAAAATACTGGAAACAACTAAATGTTAAAACAGTGTGGGAGGGAGTACTTGAGAGGATTATGGTGCAGCCTTGATGGGCCGGGCAAGGCGGCTCAGCCTGTAATCCCAGCACTGGGAGGCTGAGGCAGGTGCATCACCTGAGGTCAGGAGTTGGAGACCAGCCTAGCCAACTTGGTGAAACCTCTATCACTATAAAAATGCAAAAATTAGCTGGGTGTGGTGGCATGTGCCTATAACCCTAGCTACTCAGGAGACTGAGCAAGCTTATGGCCTGAAACCCGGGAGGCAGAGGTTGTGGTGAGCTGAATCACGCCATTGCACTCCGGCCAGACAGACTGAGACTGTATCTCAAAAAATAAAATAAATAGGCCGGGCGCGGTGTTTTTCCAAGCCTGTAATCCCAGCACTTTGGGAGGCCGACGGGGCGGATCATTGTGTCAGGAGATCGACCATCCTGGCTAACACGGTGAAACCTCGTCTCTACTAAAAATACAAAAACTAGCCAGGCGAGGTGGCGGGCGCCTGTAGTCCCAGCTACTGGGAGGCTGAGGCAGGAGAATGGCGTGAACCTGGGAGGGAGCTTGCAGTGAGCTGAGATCGCGCCACTGCACTCCAGCCTGATGACAGAGTGAGACTCTGTCCCAAAAAAAAAAAAAATGCTTCAGCTGAATACTGCCCCACTCTCAGCTCTCCTTCCAACAAAGGGATTATAGGCCGGCATGGTGGCTTATGCCTGTAATCCTAGCACTGTGGGAAGCCAAGGTGGGCAGTCAATTTAGGTCAGCAGTTCGAGACCAGCCTGGGCATGGCAACATGCAAAACCCCATCTCCTCTACTAAAAACATGAAAATTAGCTGGGCGTGGTGGCGCACGCCTGTAGTCCCAGCTACTCAGGAGGCTGAGGCAGGAGAATGGCTTGAACTCAGAAGGCAGAGGTTGCAGTGAGCCAAGATCATGCCATTGCACTCCAGCCTGGGCAACAGAGTAAGACTCTATCTCAAAACAAATAAAACCAAACCAAAATAAAACAAAAGTGCTGGATTACAGATGTGAGCCACTGCGCCCGGGACCAGCTTTACTTTTGAAAACTGATAACAAAGGTAAGAGGAATCTAAATGACTGATTCTGTTTTTTTTGTTTTTTGTTTTTGAGACGGAGTTCGCTCTGTCGCCCAGGTTGAGTGCAGTGGCCGGATCTCAGCTCACTGCAAGCTCCGGGCCCCGGGTTCACGCCATTCCCGCTTCAGCCTCCCGAGTAGCTGGGGACTACAGGCGCCCGCCACCTCGCCCGGCTAGTTTTTTATGTTTTTTTTTAGTAGAGATGGGGTTTCACCCGTGTTAGCCAGGATGGTCTCGATCTCCTGACCTCGTGATCCGCCCGGCCTTGGCCTCAAAGTGCTGGGATTACAGGCTGAGCCGCGCGCCCGGCCTGATTCTCAGCTTTGTGTATGAACTGTTCTTGGAGGCATCTAGACTGCTGATGAAGGGAAGCTTGTCCTCATAGAAGTATTTTCTCCTGTCATTATGAAGCACAGTGGCTCACGCCTGTAATTGCAGCACTTTGGGAGGCTGAGGCGGGAGGATCAGTTGAGTCCAGGAGTTTGAGACCAGCCTGGGCAACATGGCAAAACCCCGTCTCTACAAAAAAAACTATAAAAATTTAGCTGGACACGGTGGCCCCTTCCTGTAGTATCAGCTACTTGGGAGGCTGAGGTAGGAGGATTGCTTGAGCCTGGGAGGCAGAGGTTGTAGCGCACCAAGATCAAGTCATGACACCCCGGCCTGGGCAACAGAGTGAGACCCTATCTCAAAAACATATAAATACGTACATATATACATATATACTTTTTTAGTTCTGATAATTATATAAAATAGGATATCACATAATAGAATATGGAGTCTTGAACCATTAGAGAATCTTACAGAAATGCTTTGGATGAACTAATATGATGTCTGGGAATTGGTTCAGAACACACCAGTGCTGAATGAGGTGGAGGTTCAGACTAAACGAGACTGGCCACGTGCCATTAACTGGGGAATGGGGCAATGGGGGTCCCTCAACGCTTTCTCTCTCCTTCTGAGTGTGGTGGAGGTTTTCTATAATAAAAAATCAAAAAAGATTCCCTTTATTCTAGCCATCCTGGAATCCTTCTGGGCACCTTCTCTAGGGTGGTGCTGTGGGGTAGGAGTAGGCTGGGGGCCCAGGGACCACAGTGCAAGAGGCTGGGGTGACTTGCTATGTTTTGTGGCTCTGGCTCTGGGCGGGGCCAGCTCTTCCTCCGTACCCCTTCCCTGCTTCTCGGGGTGTGGTGAGGACAGGTGTGTGGCAGGGAGACCGTGGCATTCTCAGAGGCTTGGAGGGAATCCATTTCTCTTTCAACTCTGTTGTCCCAACCTTGCGCCTTCAGCAGACTCTCCAAGAATATCAAGTACTGACTCAGGGCCCGTAACTAACCCCTGTGATTTTGTTTTGAAAGGGTCCTTGACCTTCCTGAATTTGGGTACAGATCCTGTTTAAATGAGTTTCCTGACTTCAGAGTCTGAAAAGGGTATATTTGTTGACAGTGTTATCCTTAATCCGTGTTATCCCTAATCAGTAAACATCTATTGAGCCCCTGCTCTGGGCCAGAGAGGGAAACAACTCAGGGTACAGAATCAGCACAGCTCCTGGGCCTCACACGGTTTGGGTCCTGGCCTGTCCCCGGGCACCTGTTCTGTGCTGCTATGGGCCGGGCAGCCCCTGGCTCAGGTGCCGGGGGATGTGGGAGTAGTGGGAAAGGGTGCTGAGGGTTCGGGGTGTTTGCAGGGATGGGAACAAGGGCTCCTGCCACACAGACGTCACTGCCCAGCATCTGTCCTGCTCATCTCTTTCAGGATGAGTGTGCAAACCATCCGAAATGTGTTCAGTGTCGAAACTGGATATCGGCTCTCAGATGACCAAATAGTCAACCATTTTCCAAACCACTATGAACTGACCCGGAAGGACCTGATGGTGAAGAACATCAAAAGATACAGGAAGGAGCTGGAGAAAGAAGGGAGTCCCCTGGCAGAAAAAGATGAAAATGGAAAATACCTCTATCTGGGTTTGTGCCTTTTCCACTGGCTCATGTTTTCAGTAAACAGCTGAATTGTTTCTTTGGGGCGCGAGGCGCTGAGGTGGTGACTGTTGGCTTTGATGCGTGAGTATGTCCACGCGAGTTGTGGTGGCACCTGTTTCATTTCAGGTGTCTCCAGAATGAGGGAGCAGGAGGGGCCTGAGTTTGGGATCCTAGTTTCTGTGAGTGCCTTGGGAATTGCCTGGCATGGACTTTTTTTCTTTTCTTTTCTTTTCTTTTTTCTTTTATTATTATTATTTTTTATTTTTTATTTTTTTTTTGAGACGGAGTCTCGCTCTGTCGCCCAGGCTGGAGTGCAGTGGCGTGATCTCAGCTCACTGCAACCTTCGCCTTCTGGGTTTAAGCAATTCTCCTGCCTCAGCCTCCCAAGTAGCTGTGACTCTAGGTGCCCGCCACCATGCCTGGCTAATTTATTTTTGTATTTTTAGTAGAGACGGGATTTCACCATATTGGCCAGGCTGGTCTCAAACTCCTGACCTTGTGATCCACCCGCCTCGGCCTCCCAAAATGCTGGGATTAGAGGCATAAGCCACCATGCCCAGCCGGCATGGACTTTGTGTAAGCCAGAGGATGCCCTCAGTACTCAGCCCGGGGAAACACTTCTTGAGCCACAGGCTGCCACGAGGGCTCATGACTATGTCTGGCTATACCCAGGGAAGACAGCGTGCCCTGTCCAGTCCGGGATAAAAGTTGGACTGAATAGTTTCAGATTCCTTTCTTTGTTTTTTTATTTTTTGTTTTTATTTTTTGAGACAGAGTCTGGCTCTGTCGCCCAGGCTGGAGTGCAGTGGCCAGATCTCAGCTCACTGCAAGCTCCGCCTCCCAGTTTTATGCCATTCTCCTGCCTCAGCCTCCGGAGTAGCTGGGACTACAGGCACCCGCCCCCTCGCCCGGCTAGTTTTTTGTATTTTTTAGTAGAGACGGGGTTTCATCGTGTTAGTCAGGATGGTCTCGATCTCCTGACCTCGTGATGCGCCCGTCTCGGCCTCCCAAAGTGCTGGGACTACAGGCTTGAGCCACCGCGCCCGGCCGTTTCAGATTTCTTTCTAACCTGGGCAGAATTCTCTAACTGACCTCCCTGGGTATCAGTTTCCTCATCTGCTAAATGGGAATTATTACAGGGTTTATTTACAGTAGCTCCCAGGTAGCCGTGGGGATTGAAAAATACAGGTGTGTCAGGTGCTGAGGTAGGCTCTGTAAATGTAACTTCTGAGTGTTGCCCAGGGATGGTGCAGCAGAGGCCCTTGTTCTGTTAGCTGCTGGGTTGCGGTGGGGGGCACTAAGCCCATAGACCCTGGAAAGGCAGGGGCAAGATCTTTCTGTTCATGGTCACTGCTGGGCTGGCCGCTTACCAGTGCTGGGTGTCTTTGCTTTGCAGACTTTGTTCCTGTCACCTATATGCTGCCTGCTGACTACAACCTGTTTGTAGAGGAGTTCCGGAAGAGCCCGTCCAGCACCTGGATCATGAAGCCTTGTGGCAAGGCCCAGGGAAAGGGCATCTTCCTTATCAACAAGCTCTCACAGATCAAAAAGTGGTCCCGGGACAGCAAGACGTCTTCGTAAGTGTGGGCAGCCACCTGCTTTGTGTGCCAGGTCCCAGTTCACCGTTTCATGCCGTTCTGCAGTCTTTGTGGTTTTCCTTTTTTTTTTTTTTTGAGACGGAGTCCCGCTCTGTCGCCCAGGCTGGAGCACAGTGGCTGGATCTCAGCTCACTGCAAACTCCGCCTCCCAGGTTTATGCCATTCTCCTGCCTCAGCCTCCCGAGTAGCTGGGACTACAGGCGCCCACCACCACGCCCAGCTAGTTTTTCGTATTTTTTAGTAGAGACGGGGTTTCACCGTGTTAGCCAGGATGGTCTCAATCTCCTGACCTCGTGATCCGCCCACCTCGGCCTCCCAAAGTGCTGGGATTACAGGCGTGAGCCACCGTGCCCGGCCAATTTTTGTATTTTTTTAATAGAGTTTTTTTTTTTTTTTTGTAAATAGAGATGGGGTTTTGCGGCCGGGCTTGGTGGCTCATGCCTGTAATCTCAGCCCTTTGGGAGGCCGAGGTGGGTGGGTCACGAGGTCAGGAGATCAAGACCAGCCTAGCCAAGATGGCAAAACTCCATCTCTACTAAAAATACCAAAAAAAAAAAAAAATTAGCTGGGTGAGGTGGCAGGTGCCTGTAATCCCAGTTACTCAGGAGGCTGAGGCAGGAGAATCGCTTGAACCCAGGAGGCAGAGGTTGCAGTGAGCTGAGATCACGCCACTGCACTCCAGCCTGGGTGACAGAGTGAGATTCTGTCTAAAATAAAAAAGAGAGAGATGGGGTTTTTCCCTGTTAGCCAGGCTGGTCTCGAACTCCCGCCCGCCTTGGCCTCCCAAAGTGTTGGGATTACAGGCGTGAGCCACTGTACCCGGCCTGTTCTGTGGTCTTTGGCCACGAGCCACGCAGCCCGTGCTTGCTTTTGCAAGCGTGTGTCATCTGTCACATGGCGTCCCAGTGGGGCCCTGTGGCTGTCTGTGTGTGGTTAGTCCCAGACTCTGCCCAAGGCAGGCCATGAAGAAGAAGGGTGAGGGTCATGGGCCAAGGCCTGCAGCCGGTTTTCGATTACAGGCTGGTGTGAGAACCAGTCAGTTGTGGTGGTTCTGAGGCAGCAAGGCACCTGCCAAAGTCTTGGGACTTGGGGTCCTGGGTTTGAAGCCCAATCTCACACAAACTGGCTGAGCATATTTTGTTCTTCAGACTGTCCGTGTCTTACATTCTCCATCTGAGTAAACGGGGGATACCAGCAGCACCACCGCCACGGGGTTGTGGTGGGGATGGAACAAGTTAACACACGTGAAGTATGAAGCATCTGGGAGGAGCTGGGCACAGCCGAGCAAGCGGTGGGGCAATGGCCTCGTGGCAAGCCCAGGGGCCTGGGTCTGCTGGCTTCTTTTTGTCTTTGTTTAATCTCAGCTGCTCAGAAGTGCCTGGGGCCCACTGGGGCAAAGCTTCCTTCTGATCCTTTTCTAGTGGGGAGATGACTCACTTGTCAGGAGTTCCCAGGGTAACGGGAGACACCTTCTCATTTTATAGTAGGTTTACTTTTTTTTTTTTTTTTGAGATGGAGTCTCACTCTGTTGCCCAGGCTGGAGTACAGTGGTGCAATCTCAGCTCACTGCAACCTCCACTTCCTGGGTTCAGATGATTCTCCTGCCTCCTATATAAATATATAAATATATATATTTATATATATATAAATAAAAATTGGCAGACTGACACCAGCCCATCATCACCCAAAGGCCATCATTTACATCAGGGTTCACTCTTAGTGTTGTCCATTTTGGGAGCTTAGACAAATGTATAGTGACATGGATCCATCATTATTTTATTTATTTTTTGAGATGGAGTCTCGTTCTGTTGCCCAGGCTAGAGTGCAGTGGCAGGATCTTGGTTCACTGCAACCTCTGCCTCTCAGGTTCAAGCGATTCTTCTGCCTCAGCCTCTCGAGTAGCTGGAATTACAGGCGCCTGCCCCCATGCCTGGCTATTTTTTGTATTTTTAGTAGAGACAGGGTTTCATCATGTTGGCCAGGCTGGTCTCGAACTCCTGACCTCAGGTGATCCATCTGTCTCGGCCTCCCAAAGTGCTGGGATTACAGGCGTGAGACACCACGCCCGGCCAGATCCACCATTATAGTAACATACAGAGTAGTTTTGCTGCCCTCAAAATCCTCTGTGCTCTGCCTGTTTATCCCTAGTCTGTGGCAACCACAGATATTTTTACTGTCTTTATTTAGTTAGTTTATTTATTTATTTATTTGAGATGGAGTCTTGCTGTGTCACCCAGTATGGAGTGCAGTGGTGTGATCTCAGCTCACTGCTCGGGTTCAAGTGATTCTATTTATTTATTTATTTATTTATTTATTTATTTATTTATTTATTTTTTGAGATGAAGTCTCGCTCTGTCGCCTAGGCTGGAGTACAGTGGCGTGATCTCGACTCACTGCAAGCTCCGCCTCCCGGGTTTACGCCATTCTCCTGCCTCAGTCTCCCGAGTAGCTGGGACTACAGGCGCCACCACCATGCCTGGCTAATTTTTTGTGTTTTTCGTGGAGACGGGGTTTCACCGTGTTAGCCAGGATGGTCTCGATCTCCTGACCTCATGATCTGCCCACCTCGGCCTCCCAAAGTGCTGGGATTACAGGCGTGAGCCACCACGCCCGGCTGGGTTAAAGTGATTCTAATGCCTCAGCCTCCTGAGTATCTGGGATTACAGGCACACACCACCATACCCAGCTAATTTTTTTTCTTTTTAGTAGAGACAGGGTTTCGCCATGCTGACCAGGCTTATCTTGAACTCCTAACCTGAAGTGATGCACCTGCCTCGGGCTCCCAAAGTGCTGGGATTATAGACGTGAGCCACCGCTCCCGGCCGGAACTCTAATTTTTTAATTTTAATGAAGTCCAGCTTATCAGTTATTCCTTTCATGGATTGTGTCTTCGGTATTCCATCTTTTACCATCTAATTTTTACTTTCTCTGCCATATTTAGGTTTGTGTCTCAATCTAATAAAGAAGCCTACGTGATTTCTCTCTATATCAACAACCCGTTACTAATTGGCGGGAGGAAGTTCGACCTGCGCTTGTACGTTCTGGTGTCCACGTACCGTCCGCTACGCTGTTACATGTAAGCGCCCCTAAGGTTTTGGTTCCCTCTTGATTTTGTTTTCACGCAAAATGTCTTTCTTCTTAGCACCATTGTGAGGTTTGGTGAAACAGTGCATGTGCGGTGCCTGAGGGAAGTAAGAGCAGTCAGGCCTGATGCTGATGTGAGTCATGTCAATCACACACACAAAAGCAGCTCTTTTTAGAGAATGAAGTGGTGTCTTTTCTTTGTGTTTCTCCTCAGAGTTTGAATTAATCTACATTCCCACCTAGGTATAAGCTTGGGTTTTGCCGGTTTTGCACAGTGAAATACACCCCGAGTACCAGTGAGCTGGACAACATGTTCGTTCATCTCACCAACGTCGCCATCCAGAAACACGGGGTGAGTGTGTTCTTTCATTTGTGCTTACAGAAATGGACTGACTTTCAGGCTGGGCACGGTGGCTCACGCTTGTAATCCTAGCGCTTTGGGAGGCCGAGGCGGGTGGACTACCTGAGGTCAGGAGTTGGAGACCAGTCTGGCCAACATGGCGAAACCCCATCTCTACTAAAAATATAAAAATTAGGCCGGGCGTGCCGGACGCAGTGGCTCACACCTGTAATCCCAGCACTTTGGGAGGCCGAGGTGGGCAGATCACGAGGTCAGGAGATCAAGACCATCCTGGCTCACCCGGTGAAACCCCGTCTCTACTAAAAATACAAAAAATTAGCCGGGCATGGTGGCGTGCGCCTGTCGTCCCTGGCGTGAATGCGGGAGGCTGAGCTTGCAGTGAGCCGAGATTGCGCCACCGCACTCCAGCCTCGGCGACAGAGCGAGACTCCATCTCAAAAAAAAAAAAAAAAAAAAAAATTAAGCTGGGTGTGGTGGCTCACGCCTGTAATCCCAACACTTGGGAGGCCAAGGCGGGTGGATCACCTGAGGTCAGGAGTTCAAGACCAGCCTGACCAACACAATGAAACCCTGTCTCTACTAAAAAAAAAAAAAAATACAGAGATTACCGTGGTGGCTGGCGCCTGTAATTCCAGCTACTCGGGAGGCTGAGGCAGGAATCACTTTGAACCGGGAGGCAGAGGTTGCAGTGAGCCAAGATAGCACCATTGCACTCCAACCTGGACCACTGAGCGAGACTCTGTCTCCAAAAAAAAAAAAAGACCAACTTTGTGGGTTTCTTTCTTCTATTTTTGCAAGAACAGGGTGGGTATAGGAGTGATACTTGAAGAGTAACCTGGTCTAAGGCCCGGCACTGATGGGACTGGGAGGCTCTAGGCATCAGATCAGGCGGGCTGGCATGGGGCACATCAGCTGAATGCCCGGGGCTGTGGGGGGCACCTGGAGAAAGAAGGCGGCAGGCTCAAGCCCTGCCTTTCTAGTTCTGTGGCCTCGGGCAAGTCAGTGTAACTCTCAGAGCCTCAGTTTCTCCATTTATAAAAGGAAGTCAAAGTATTACCTGGCGGGACTGTGGGAGGATGTCATGAGGTGACTTCTGTTTAGACTGTCCCTGAGGTACCCTGCCTCGACTTACAATTTTTCAAGCATCCAGTGGTGTGAAAGCGACATGCATTCAGTAGGAACCGTACTTCAAGTAGCCATGCAACCATTATTTTTTCTTTGAGTACAGTTGTCAATAAATTACCTGAGGTATTTCACACTTTATTATAAAATGGGCTTTGTGTTAGATGATTTTGCCCAACGTCAGGCTATTGTAAGTGTTCTGTACATGTTTTAGATAGGCAAGGCTATGATATTCAGTAAGTTAGGTGTATTAAACGCACTTTTTTTTTTCTTTTTGAGGTGGAGTCTCGCTCTGTTGCCCAGGCTGGGGTGCAGTGGCACGATCTTGGCTCACTGCAACATCTGCCTCCCGGGTTCAAGTGATTCTCCTGCCTCAGCCTCCTCAGTAGCTGGGATTACAGACATGCGCCACTACGCCTGGCTAATTTTGTATTTTTAACAGAGATGGGGTTTCCTCCATGTTGGTCAGGCTGGTCTCGAACTCCTGACCTCAGGTGATCTGCCTGCATCGGCCTTCCAAAGTGCTGGGATTAGAGGCGCCTGGCCAAGTGCACTTTCAATTGATGATATTTTCAACTTGCTTTGGGCTTATCTGGACATAACCCCACCAAGGGGCATCTGTATGCATTGAGCACCTATGTGAGTTGGTCCTCTTCTGAGTGCCCAGGACGCAGTGATAGGCAAAGCCTACCTTAGTACCTACTCTCATGGATCGCAGAACTTCCGGGGGAGATAGTCATCAACTAATCACCCTGATGAACATGAAATTAGAAACCGAGCTGCTTGCTCTGAAAGTGAGGAACACACATCTAGAAGAGCATGGAACAAAAGAAGCCCCTCGTCCAGTGGTTGGAGAAGGCTTCCCTGCAAAGTAGTGCTGAAGCCGAGATCTAAAGCATGAGTCGGGATAATCCAGAGGAGGCAGGGAAGGTTCCATAGTGGTGGGTACAGCGTGTGCCGAGGCCGTTGCCAGAGGGAGCTTTACAGGGGCTGAAAGGATGCCAAGGTGGCGGGAGCCCCTGGCGTGAGGGCAGTGGATGGGGAGGGACTGGAGAGGCCAGTGAAGGCAGACACACAGGGCTTTGTGGGCCCGGTTCAGGTTTGGGGCTCTCATTTCACCCCAACACAAACCGAAAGTCTCGTTTCTTTATGAAAGACTCTTTCTTTGTTTTGAATCTTCTTTGAATGGAAGCCTTGAATGCGCTGATCTTTTTTCTAATTTGAGAAAGAGAGTGAGTATTGGTATGAAATATGCATTTCTGAAGAACCTGCTGAAGAGTTTGTTCAGACGAGGCTGGACTCGGTCCTCCGCCCATCACTTACCTCTGTGTGACGTGGGCAGCTCACCAGCCCTCCGGGCCCACAGCTGCCAACAGGAGCCGGGGTTCACCTTGCTGGTGTTGGGATGACGATGGCCACCGTTTACCGGGGCCAAGTGGTTTCCACATGTGGCTGGCCTAACTCACTTCCCCTTCAGGTCTTCCTGAGAGCAAACCAAGCAAGCGTCAGTTTTACAAATTTCATTTTTTATTTGTGTCTTTATTATTATTAGTTTTTTTAGACAGAGTCTTGCTCTGTCACCCAGGCTGGAGTGCAATGGCGCGATCTCGGCTCACTGCAGCCTCCGCCTCTCGGGTTCAAGTGATTCTCCTGCCTCAACCCCCCGAGTAACTGGGGTTATAGGTGCGTGCCACCACACCTGGCTGGGGTTTTTAGTAGAGACGAGGTTTCACCACGTTGGCCAGGCTGGTCTCGAACTCTTGACCTCAGGTGATCCTCTCACCTTGGCTTCCCAAAGTGCTGGGATTACAGGCGTGAGCCACCGTGCCTGGACTGTCTTTTAAAATGTGGTTAATTCTCCTTTTATCTGCTTTGAGTCAGTGGTGTTTGCTGGAGCAGTTGGTAGGCTGATTTTATTTTAGATCATGGTTCTCGCTTTATACTTAGAAAATGAAATTGCAGTCTCCTAACAGTGGAATACATTTGGGTATTTTCTAGCCCTTTGCCTTCAAAGGCAAGCATTGTATGGAGAATTAATTTTCAGGGATGGCAAAACAGGAAGAGCTCAGAACTGGCTCAGAACATGTGGGCTGGGGGCCCAGCCCCATCCCAGCCCAGGAGGAAAGCTCGGCCAAGTAACTGCTTCTGTGAGCCCGGCCTCCTCTGTGAAATGGAATGATAATGGCAGCTTCTCAAGGTTGTTGGAGAGTTTTGGGTGTGGTGCTTTTACACTGCAGTGTGCAGCCCAGGCGCGCCTTAGGCTGGCTTCCCCAGGAAAGACTGAGGTAGAAGTCCGCAAGCTGATGTTGCTGCAATGGAGGCCTCCGCCCACCCCGCGGTGCTGTGGAGCGGGGGTGGCCCTGCAGGGCCGTCCTGGAGGGAGCAGGGCCGTCCTGGAGGGAGCAGGGCCTGACACATGGCGTCAGCCAGACATAGTATGCTGTTGCCCTTGGGGAAGGCTTTCACCCTGGATTAGGCAGCTCCCTCAAGCCAAGGGCACTCCCAGTGAGGGTGGGTCTCAGCTGGAAGAACGAGTGCCTTGGTCTTGAAGGGTATCCCGGCAGCACTCCACAGCCTGTGCTGTGAGGCATAAATGATTAAGCCTGAGAGTCTTAGGGAGATGAGCATTTAAAAACACCCACATAAGGCCAGGACGGTGACTCACAGTGCAATGAGCCGAGATCATGCCGTTGCACTCCAGCCTGGGCGGCAGAGTGAGACTCTGTCTCAAAAAAAAAAAATACCCCCACATAATAGGAGGCCCAGGCGGTCGGGCACAGTGGCTCATGCCTGTAATCCCTACACTTTGGGAGGCCAAGGCAGGAGGATCACTTGAGGCCAGGAGTTCACGACCAGTCCGGGCAACATAGTGAGACCTCTTCTCTAAAAAAAATTTAAAAATCAGCCAGGCATGGTGGCACGTGCCTGTAGTCCCAGTTACTTGGGAGGCTGAGGTGAGAGGCTCGCTTAAGCTCACAAGGTCAAGGCTGCAGTACACCAAAGTCATGCCACTGCACTCCAGCTTGGGGGACGGAGTGAGACCCTATCTTAAAACAAAATGGAAAATAGCTGGCCCAGATCTCCCTGGGGTAAGGGTCCGGATGTTTGCCTTGTTGCTGCATGCCCACACCCAGGGGTCACTCCAGAAATGCTTGGGGGATGCAACGGTTCCACGGGGTTCCTCTGGGGTGCATAACCTGAGGGATGCCTGCCCGCTTTCCTGTCACCAGGAGGACTACAACCACATCCATGGGGGCAAGTGGACAGTGAGCAACCTGCGGCTCTACCTGGAGAGCACCCGCGGCAAGGAGGTGACCAGCAAGCTGTTCGACGAGATCCACTGGATCATCGTGCAGTCCTTGAAGGCTGTGGCGGTGAGTTTGCTGTGGGCGGGGGAGTCAGCTCCCAGGGCATGTTTGGGAGTCGGGGGGCTTGCTGTTCTTGTTAAAAATACCTGTTTTCAGCTGTGCGCAGTGGCTCACGCCTGTAATCCCAGCACTTTGGGAGGCTGAGGCAGGCAGACCACCTGAGGTCAGAAGTTTGAGACTAGTCTGGCCTACAGACATGGTGAAACCCTGTCTCTACTAAAAGTACAAAAATTAGCCAGGCGTGGTGGCATGCATGTGTAATCCCAGCTACTTGGGAGGCTGAGGCAGGAGAATCGCTTGAACCCGGGAGGTGGAGGTTTCAGTGAGCGGAGATCACATCACTGCACTCCAGCCTGGGTGATAGAGTGAGACTCTGTCTCAAAAAACAAAGAACAGGCCGGGTGCATTGGCTCACGCCTGTAATCCCAGCACTCTGAGAGGCTGAGGTGGGCGGATCACCTGAGATCAGAAGTTCAAGACCAGCCTGGCCATGGTGAAACCATATCTCTACTAAAAATACAAAAAATTATCTGGGCATGGTGGTGCGCACCTGTAATCCCAGCTACTCAGGAAGCTGAGGCAGGAGAATTGCTTGAATCCGGGAGGCGGAGGTTGCAGTGAGGCAAGATCGCGCCAGTGTACTCCAGCCTGGGCGCCAAGAGGGAAACTCCGTCTCCAAGATTGCGCTCCAGTCTGGGCAACAAGAGCAAAACTCTGTCTCAAAAAAAAAAAAAAAAAAGCCTGTTTTGATGTTCTTGCCGCTTGCACGTCTGCCAGAGGCTGCGGTTTTTTCGGGGAGGGAAAGGGGCCAGCTTCTAGCCCAGTGCCGCCCTGGGGTGAGCTGGGCTAGCCTCTCAGGTGTAGCCACAGGCCCCGGCCCCTTCACTCCTCTTATACCCACTAAGTCAATAATAACTATTTTGACATAAAGTGATATATTGGAGATGGACTTCCAGCAGCCTTTTTTCTGTAGCTGTCCTGACTTTAGTATTTCATAGATATTTTGGACTGGAAATAGCATGCCTCTTCTTTTTTTTAATCTTCTCGTTTTTTGTTTATTTGCTGGTTTGCAGTTGGCATTCGTGTTTTGCTTTACAGTGTTAAAGCAGGTGCACATCTATTTTCAAGGAAGAGGAGAGAAACAAATATTTGAGCACCAGCAAGCTGGCTACTATTAGTATTTCCCGGGCCGGGCACTGTGGCTCACGCCTGTAATCCCAGGACTTTGAGAGGCGGAGGTGGAGGATCACGTAAGCCCACAAGTTTGAGACTTGTGGTAACAAAGCAAGACCCTATTTTTTGTTTTGTTTTGTTTTTGTTTTTGAGGCAGAGTCTCATTCTGTCACCCAGACTGAAATGCAGTGGCACAATCTTGGCCCACTGCAACCTCCAATTCCCTGGTTCAAACGATTCTCCTGCCTCAGCCTCCCAAGTTCCTGGGATTACAGGCATGTGCCACAACGCCCAGCTAATTTTTGTATTTTTAGTATAGACAGAGTTTCACCGTATTGGCCAGGCTGCTCTCAATCTCCTGACCTCATGATCTTCCCACCTCGGCTTCCCAAGGTGCTGGGATTACAGATGTGAGCCTCTGCACCTGGCCAAGACCTGCTTCTTTTTTTTTTTTTGTGAGACAGAGTCTCACTCTGTCACCCAGGCTGGAGTGCAGTGGTGCGATCTCGGCTCACTGCAAGCTCCACCTCCCAGGTACAAGCGATTCTCCTGTCTCAGCCTCCCGAGTAGCTGGGATTACAGGCACGAACCACCACACGCCGCTAATTTATTGTATTTTTAGTAGAGACGGGGTTTCACCATGTTGGCCAGGCTGGTCTCGAACTCCCGACCTCAGGTGATCCACCGCCTCAGCCTCCCAAAGTGCTGGGATTACAGATATCAGCCACTGCACACAGCCAGGTTTCTTTTGTTTGTTTGTTTGTTTGAAGTGACAGATTCTTGCTCTGTCACCCAGGCTGGAGTGTAGTGGCGTGTTCATGGCTCACTGCACTCCACCACTCCTCATGGCACTCTTCTTCCTCCCAGCCTCCAGCCGTCCCGAGTAGCTGGGACTGCAGGCACATACCACCACACCCAGCTAAATGTTTTATTTCTTGTAGAGGCGGGGGTCTCGCTGTGTTACCCAGGCTGGTCTCAAACTCCTGGGCTCAAGTGATCCTCCCACCTTGGCCTCCCAAAGTGCTGGGATTACGGGCATGAGCCACTGCACCCAGCCTCAGGTGATGTTATTTATGTATCTGGAGAACAGTTAATCTAATGTGCATCTAAGTGAAACGGAATCAAAAATTACCAAGGAAATTCAAAAATTTGTATATAAATGGATTTACTTTTGTCACTGGGAACAGAGGTTAACAGTCTGGCACCCGGATTCCTAAGGGCCTGGGAAGGGGTGACGGGCAGCCTGGGGAACAGTTTGTGTTTGTCTGTGATAAGCCTGCACAGACCTTCACTGCAGGTTCTGGGCTTGGAGCTGGACACCCGTCCACTCTGATGACAGTGTCACGCCGGCAGAGGGGTTGGGTGCTAGTCAAGCCTCTGATGAGTGAGATGCAGAGATGCCCGTTCTGGTTCCATCAGTTCCCTCTATCAGGCTGAGGAAAGTGTCCAGTCTCTGAGCTCTGCAGGAGGAAGAGGGAGAGGAGGGAAGGAAGCGTTTGTGGTGGAGGGTGGGAACCCTTGCTGTGGGAGGTCGGGACCGTGGGATGATCCTGCTTGTTTCTGAGGCGTTAGTCTCGGCTGCGCCCTTCGATGCTGGCCATGTCACCCACTGGTCACTCTCTCTCCAGCCGGTGATGAACAATGACAAGCACTGCTTTGAATGCTATGGCTATGACATCATCATTGACGACAAGCTGAAGCCCTGGCTGATCGAGGTAACCATGGGAGCACCCACACCCAGTCACACCACACACCACCCCCGACATGCTTCTGCCCCGACTCGTGCCCAGCGGTCCCCCAGGCCCTGGATGTTTCTCAGGCCAGGCAGGAAAGGGACCGATGTTCAGGTTTGATGGTTTGCTGATAGTTAAATTATAAGCACATTCCTGCAGTGCTCCCCTCCCGGAGCCCAGCCCACGACAGGGAGCTGTGGCGCATCTCACCTGAACTTGGTGGTGACGACACCTCCAGGGTGCCTCTGGGCTAGTCCATTCTCCCTCAGTCCTGCACCCTGTCCCCTGGGCCCTCCCCTGCCCTCATGGGTGACAGTGTTCCCGTCTAGGAAAGCAGCTCACAACCTCGGCAGCCCTTGGCCAGCAGGAGCACGCTCCTGAGGGAAGGAACGCCTCTGCTGTTCTTCGGCATCTGTGAAGGTCGAGTTTGGAAGTGGATTCCTCTGCCTCTGTCAGTGGGTGGAGAGGACATCATGGTGGGTGTCTGTTTAGCACTGCCTCCTGACACCAAGCCTGGCTGGTGCGACCTCAGCCACAGTGGGCGCCGGCGCACTTACCAGAGGCCCCAGCTTCAAACCCACCTTGCCCAACTGTTACCCTGGAGCCAGGAGGAGGAGCTTCAGGCCTCTGAGGGGACAAAAGAACTCCGGCTGTATTGGTTATTGGTTCATCTCCCCACACGCCCTTCCGACCAAGTTCATTTGCCAGTGCACGGCTCGGGCCCTTCATCTCGGTCACATTTTGAGCCAGGACACCTGAGTCCACAATAGCAGGTTGTAGGGAGTGGTTCCCTGTGGGTAGAGTCATGGGAACCCCTTCATGAAGCTGCCGGAAGAGCCAATGGGAACCCCTTCATGAAGCTGCCGGAAGAGCCAAGCGAGCTGGTTCCATCATGGCATTTTCCAGGCAACTCCTTATGCCGCCAAAGCTGGGTGTGTGAGCGGGGAATAGATCGCCAGTGTTCGTACTTTCTTGTCCTCCATGTTAAACAGAATCACTTGAGGCCAGGTGTGGTGGCTCACTCCTGTAATCCCAGCACTTTGGTAGGCCAAGGCAGGTGGATCACCTGAGGTCAGGAATTCAAGACTAGCCTGGCCAACACGGCAAAATGCCGCCTCTACTAAAAATAAAAAAATTGGCCGCGTGTGGTGGTGCGCATCTGTAATCCCAGCTACTGGAGAGGCTGAGGCAGGAGAATCGCTTGAACTCGGGAGGCTGAGGTTACAGTGAGCTGAGATCACGCCACACACTACTGTATTCCAACCTGGGTGACAGAGGGGAGACTTTGTCTCAAAAGAAAGAAAACAAACAAACAAAACACAAAACAAAAAAAACCCAGTAACTTGAATGGAAGTCTCTCCTGCATGAACTAGGATCTTAATTGTGAACGTTAATTTTTTTTTTCTTTTTTTTTTTTGAGATGGAGTCTCACTCTGTCACCCAGGCTGGAGTACAGTGGCACAATCTCGGTTCACTGCAATCTCTGCCTCCCGGGTTTAAGCAATTCTCCTGCCTCAGCTTCCTGAGTAGCTGGGATTACAGGCGTGTGCCATTATACCCAGCTAATTTTTGTATTTTTAGTAGAGATGGGGTTTCACCATGTTGGTCAGGCTGGTCTTGAACTCCTGACCTCATGATCCGCCCGCCTCGGCCTCCCAAAGTGCTGGGATTACAGGTGTGAGCCACTGCACCTGGCCCTACTTCTTTTTTCTTTTATTTATTTATTTATTTATTTTTTGAGACGGAGTCTAGCTCTGTCGCCCAGGCTGGAGTGCAGTGGTGCAATCTCCGCTCACTGCAAGCTCTGCTGCCTCCCTGGTTCACGTTTCCCTGGCTTCAGCCTCCCTAGAAGCTGGGACTACAGGCGCCCGCCACCACGCCCGGCTAATTTTTTTGTATTTTCAGTAGAGACGGAGTTTCACCGTGTTAGCTAGGATGGTCTCCATCTCCTGACCTGGTGATCTGCCCACCTCGGCCTCCCAAAGTGCTGGGATTACAGGCGTGAACCACCGCGCCCGGCCCCGGCCCTACTTCTTAATAACAATTCTGGTTTTTGTTTTGTTTTTTGTTTTTTTGAGACGGAGTCTCCTCTGTCGCTTAGGCTGGAGTGCAGTGGCGCAATCTTGGCTCAATGCAACCTCTGCCTCCTAGGTTCAAGCAATTCTCCTGCCTCAGCCTCCTGAGTAGCCGGGACTACGGGTGCATGCTGCCACCCCCGGCTAATTTTTTGTATTTTAGCAGAGACAGGGTTTCACCATGTTACCTAGGCTGGTCTCAAACCCCTGAGTGCTCAGGCAATCTGCCTGCCTCGGCCTCCCAAAGTGCTAAGAGGACAGGCATGAGCCACCATGCCTGGCCAACAATTCTTTTTTTTTTCTTTTCTTTTTTTTTTCTGCCTCGAGACAGGGTCCCACTCTGTGGCCTAGGCTGGAGGCAATGGCGTAATCATAGCTCACTGCAGCCTCCAGCTTCTGGGCTTAAGTGATATTCCTGCCTCAGTCTCCCGAGTAGCTGGGATTACAGACATGCGCCACCATGCCTGGCTAATTTTTTTTTTTTTTTTTTAGAGATGGGGTCTCACTATGCTGCGCAAGCTGGAGTTTTTTTGTGTGTTTTTTGTTTGTTTGTTGTTTGTTTTTTGAGATGGAATTTCACTCTTGTTGCCCAGGCTGGAGTGCAGTGGTGCCATCTTGGCTCACCACAACTTCTACCTCCTGGGTTCAAGTGATTCTCCCGCCTCAGCCTGCAGAGCAGCTGGGATTACAGGCATGAGCCACCATGCCTGGCTAATTTTGTATTTTTAGTAGAGACAGGGTTTCTACATGTTGGTCAGGCTGGTCTCGAACTCCTGACCTCAGGTGATCCGCCCATCTTGGCCTCTCAAAGTGCTGGGATTACAGGCGTGAGCTACCACGCCCAGCCTCCCAAGCTGGTTTTGAACTCCTGGGCTCAAGTGATCCTCCTGCCTTGGCTTCCCAAAGTGCTGGAATTACAAGTGTGAGCAACTGCTCCCAGCCTTTTTTTTTTTTCTTTTCTTTTTTTCGTTTTAGGGGGCACATATCCAGATTTGTTACATGGATATATTGCAGAATGCTGGGCTTTGGGCTTCTCTCAAACCCGTCACCCAAATAGTGAACATAGTATTCAATAGGGAGTATTTAAACCCTTGCCGCCTTCTTCTCTCTCCCCTCTTTTGCAGACCCTAGTGTTTTGGGTATTTTTTATTTTTATTTTTATTTCTTCTTTTTGAGACAGAGTCCTGCTCTGTCGCCCAGGCTGGAGTGCAGTGGCATGATCTTGGCTCACTGCCAACCTCCACCTCCTGAGTTCAAGCAATTCTCATGCCTCAGCCTCCCAAGTAGCTGGGATTACAGGTAACTGCCACCACGCCTGGCTAACTTTTGTATTTTTAGTAGAGATGGGGTTTTACCATGTTGGTCAGGCTGGTCTTGAACTCCGACCTCAAGTGATCTGCCCACTGCAGCCTCCCAAAGTGCTGAGATTACAGGCGTGAGCCACTGCGCCTGGCCTGGGTTGTTTTTTTTGGTTTGTTTTTTGTTTTTAAGAGACCAAGTCTCGCTCTGTTGTCCAGGCTGGAGTGCAATGTCACCATCATTGCTCGCCACAGCCTTGAACTCCTGGGCTCAAGTGATCTTCTCACCTCAGCCTCCTGTGTAGCTGGGACTAGAGGTGTGTGCCACTCTTTCCAGCTAATTTTTTTTTTTTCTTTTTTGTAGAGATGGGATCTCGCTGTGTTGCCTAGGCTAGTCTCGAACTCCTAGCTTCAAGCGATCCTTCTACCTCAGCCTCCCAAAGTGCTGGGGTTATAGTTGTGAGCCACTGAACACAGCCTAAAACAATTCTTTTTTTTTTTTTTTTTTTTGAGACGGAGTCTCACTCTGTCGCCCAGGCTGGAGTGCAGTGGTGCGATCTCGGCTCACTGCAACCTCCACCTCCTGAGTTCAAGCGATTGTCCCGTCTCAGCCTCCCGAGTAGCTGGGATTACAGGTGCCCGCCACCACGCTCAGCTAATTTTTTTTATTTTTAGTAGAGATGGGGTTTCACCGTGTTGACCAGTTTGGTCTCAAACTCTTGACCTCGTGATCCACTTGCCTCGGCCTCCCAAAGTACTAGGATTACAGGCATGAGCCACCACGCCTGGCCCCTAATAACAATTCTTAGTCTTCATGTGTTCATGATAAGAATTACAGTATTGTGGTATATTACAGTGGTCATTTTGAGGACAATGAGATCTGTGTAATTCTTTGGTACAGTACATATTCGATACCCTGCTAGCAGCACGGACAGGCAGTCTGACTGGGAGAAACCTGAACGGCTTGCAGATTTGCTCCCTCTAATCCCCCATGGCCTGAATAACCGAGGTCATTAGAACTGTACCTAAAATATGAGTAAATAAGTAGTGAATGGCCGGGCACAGTGGCTCACGCCTGTAACCCCAGCACTTTGGGAGGCCAAGGCAGGCAGATCCCCTGAGGTCAGGCATTCCAGACCAGCCTGACTAACATGGTGAAACCCTGTCTCTAGTAAAAATACAAGTATTAGCCAGGTATGGTGGCAGACGCCTGTTAATCCCAGCTACTCAGGAGGCTGAGGCAGGAGAATTGCTTGAACCCGGGAGGCAGAGGTTGCCGTGAGCTGAGATCGCACCACTGCATTCCAGCCTGGGAAACAGAGCAAGACTCCATCACAGAAAAAAAAAAAAAAGGAGTGACTGAGGGCCTGTGGGACTCTCCACAGAACAAAGTGAATGTCTCCATTTTAATGTGTGGATTTTGTGACATTGCTTAGCTTCTCAGAGGCCTTATGGGACCACCTTTCCATGTGTTGAACAGGATTCATCATTTGACTCGGAATGCTGCTTTACTAATGAGATATTACTCTCTTCGTGAAAAGGGGGCCCATCGCTTTTTACTTAAACCCACACTGCTGCTTGGGCAGGGTCATTTGGTTCGCTGATTCTAACAAACCGCTGGGGGGCTCTTGGCACTTAGGACAGAAGCAGTCACACAGGTAGGCACTGATAATGTTTGTGATATACACTGGCCCAAAATGTTTGTGTGATTGCTGATTTGTAGATCCTAATTCTAATCGCATCTTTCAGTATTACTTATATTTCACTGACCAGCTAATAAAAGTGGATCACAAAGTGCTTCCTAGCAAGGTGCTCTGACGATATTAGATAGTAGCAATGTTGAATAACAACTTGCCAGGCGCAGTGGCTCACGCCTGAAATCCCAGCACTTTGGGAGGCTGAGGTGGGAGGATCACCTGAGGTCAGGAGTTCGAGACCAGCCTGATCAACATGGTGAAACACCATCTCTAATAAAATACAAAAAATAGCTGGGCGTGGTGGTGTGTGCCTCTAATCCCAGCTACTCGGGAGTCTGAGACAGGAGAATCGCTTGAGCCCGGGAGGCAGAGGTTGCAGTGAACTGAGATTGTGCCACTACACTCCAGCCTGGGCAACAAGAGCGAAACTCCGTCTCAAAAAAAAGAAAAAAAAAAACACTTGACTAAAGCGTGCAGCAGCCAGCATCTCCTTCTGCAGTGCACGTTTTCATTCCAAAAGAGCGGGAGACACAGCTGAGGAACGTGGGTCTTTCGTCTCACAGGTGAACGCGTCCCCATCTCTCACGTCCAGCACTGCCAACGATCGCATCCTCAAGTATAACCTGATTAATGACACCCTCAACATCGCCGTCCCGAACGGCGAAATCCCAGACTGCAAATGGAACAAGTCGCCCCCAAAGGAAGTCCTCGGCAATTACGAGATTCTGTAAGTCTGCGTGCGACTGTGCGCTTGTTCTTCTGTGTTTCCTAATGGCATGTGCCATAGCCCAGCTCGGATTTCTGGGCATGTGTGGATTCCCCTTATTTGGGCAGAACGTTTCATTTACTGATGACATTATGGGATAGATTGTGTTGTAGCAGAAAAGCAATTTGTTAATTTATTTTACTATTATTATTATTTTGAGAGGGATTCTCACTCTGTCGC